ATTTCCAGCTCTCAGGGACCATCCCAAACCACCCAGGTGCAGACAAACAGCAAAATTTTCCCTCCTCGAGGTGTTCCTCACACAGGTTGCACCTCATTTCGCCCCTTATCCATCCCCAGCCTCAGCACTGGGGTCACCCAGGCTAAAGTTGTCCTTCCCCAGCTCCCACAAGGTCCTGCTGCCTCCCAGTCCCAGGATAAGGGGCAGTTGAGTCCATGCTACTCACAGCTGTGAAAAGGGATCCATAAAACACTCCCGGCAGGCTGCAAAGCTCAGGATTTAAGAGGCCAATAAAGGGAGCCCAAAATGAACTCCTTTTTCTGTCTTTTTAAACCACATGCTCTTTGATTCGATTACTTGATTTTATAGGGAAGGGGGAGGGAGAGTCAATTATTTGATTCTTGATTTCTCAGCGTAGAAATACGGACTGTGCAACCACAGAAATACAAAAACCCCTTCAAAGCAGCATCACAACAATTTGGTGGCAACATCAGGTTTATGGAGCTGTAAGAAATCAGCAGTTTCCCTCCTGGGCTCCTCAGCAGAACCTGCTCCAGCATGAAAGGAGTGCAGTGATGTCTGAGCACAAAGTCCTGCAGCCCACCCACAAAATTACAGGCTGACAGGTGGCACTGCCTGGCTCTGTGTCCCTGAGTGCTTCCTTAGGGAAGAGCTGCTCAGGGAATCAAAGAATCCCTTCAGAACCCTGGAATTATGATTTGTGGGGAGCAGGAGCTGCACACTCATTCCTAGGCATCTCCAGCCCCCAAAAAATCACTGCTGGCTCCTTCCAACTGACAGCAGGACCAGCCCAGGGGTGTCCAAACCACTTCCATCCAGGCTCGGGGTAACCACAAGCCTGCAAATTACAGGGATTTATCTCTGAGTGCTGGCCTGCAAGAGACAGAGAGCTAAAACCCCAAAGTGCCTTTGGGATTGAACCCACCTGAACCCATCAGCAGCAAACCCTGCAGGGATTCCTGCTGGCAGGTTCTCCTGGGGTGTTGTGAGCTGGAGCAGCCCTCTCTCCCCTTTCCTGGTGCACACAACGATGCTGCCACGCCAATAAAAGCTCAAATGGAGTTTTGGGGTCTGCTCACCCAAACCTGCTGCCTCCTCTCCTGAAGGAACTGGAAGGAAAAGGAGCATTAAGGAGCTGCTCACCTGGGTGAATCCAAGCCTGGGGGGTTGGCTGTGTCTTGAGGAAGGTGAGGAAGGCAGCCTGGCCCCCACCCACCACCTTTTCCACTCCCTGCTCACCTTCAAAGCCTGGCATTTAGCTCATCCCTGCTTCAGCTACTCAGGCTGTTAAATGGGCACAGTTTCACTCCTAAAAGCCATGTCAAAACTCTGGGAAACCTTTATCCTTATTTTAAGTGGAGTGCATTGTATTTCACCCCAAAGCTCAAGAGAAACAGAAACAAACCCAGCACAGAGGCTGGGGGGACTCTCGCCTCCACAGGAGGGACATCACCCGAATTTCTGTCTGAAAAACTCCTGCTTTGGAGGAAGAACACGCTTGATTTTGCCACCAGGTGCCAAAGGCAGCTGCTAAGTGCCACAGGAGTGAGGCAGGAGCCCAAAACCACGGCAGCAGGAGGAGGGAACAGGGAGCAGGAGCATCACTGCTGGGATCTGGGCTCGGGCAGAGCCCTGGAATTATCGATGGGACACTGGCTGGAGGCCACTGCAGTGTTTGACCAGCTCACAGCTGGACACAGCAGATAGCAGGAAAAAAACAGGGAGCAGGAGCATCACTGCTGGGATCTGGGCTCGGGCAGAGCCCTGGAATTATCGATCACAGCTGGACACAGCAGATAGCAGGAGAAAATTCAACCCCTTTTTCCCTCACCTCTCCAGCAGGGCTGCCTCAAAAGGAGGAGGGAGGAAAGGAAACCCAGTTCATTAATTCTGCTGCTGTTCAGCAGCTCCTGGCCCTGAATCTGCCCAGGCTGGAGGTGCTGAGGATGGGGAGGGGCAGGATCAGGGGATCCCTGGCACAGTGGGAGAGAGCCCAGGGAGCCAGGCAGGTGTGATTCCACCTGAGGAGCAGCAGCAGAGCTCAGCCCCACCTGGATCAGGGTGGGACTGAGCCCCCTGGGGCATCCCAGCCCCACTGAGGGCTGGCTGTGCTGCCCCATTAAGCAAAACCCCTTTTCTGCCTCTGGAGTCTGACCCACCTCCAAAATACATCAGGACTGAGCCTGTGCTGCAAAAACCTGACTCCTGCATGCCTCCCTCTCCACAGAGGCAACGTGCCAGGCTGCATCTGATTTCTTCTCTCCCCTTGCAGCCCTTTCACCCTCCTCTCCCTATCTTGGAGGAACAGATGCACCCATTCATAACCAAGCAGAAGAAAGTGTGAATTTGCCTTCCCCACTGCAGTGCAGCTGGCAAAGCACAGGAGGGAAAATGATGTTTTGCACGAATACAGAAATTATCTGCACTGATCTTATTAAGCTTGAATGGGGAAGCGACAGAAAAAAAGAAAGGAGGGAAGCGAAAGGCATTGTTTGGGTGTAGCATCATTATTGTTTATCCTCTCCAAGCACTCCATCATCCTAATCCCAGCGTCTCCCACGGTGACAGGTCAGGAGCAGAGATCTGTGAGACAGCACCATGCTCAGCCTGCCTGAGGGATGCAAACCTGGCAAGGCAGCGCCTCGGGGGAAGCCTCACCTGCAATTCCCAGGCAGCTCACAAACATTTTCAGTGTTGAAAATATCCACGTGGCACCAATTAGCACCAGAGCACTGGGATAGGCAGGGGTGAGGGGGAAACAAAGGCTCAGGAACTCCCCAACCCACACCCTCACTGGGATATTCGTATTTATCACAGGAATAAATCCCATGCCGAGATGCCCAGGACACAAGAGCCAATTGCTCATGCCACAGGCAGCACAGCAACTCTGGCAAGTACAGCAAAACAATCACAAGGTGGAAATTCGAACAGAACACAAGTCACCTGCTATCCAAACTGGGGGAATTTGGCAAGTTTCCTCCTCAGCACTCACCACATCAAGGCTGCTCAATGATGCTAATTAAACAGGTCCCTCCCAGACACAGCCTGGAAGATTTACATCCCTCATTTGCATTTCTCAGTTAATTTTTCTTTCCTCCAGGGCACCGTTTGAACGGCCACGGTGTGATTGCTCGGAGGGGGTTGATTTTGCAGGAGTGCCATTTGAAGATGAAGGGCTGTCCTGTCAGCAGCCCCAGGGCTGCTCCTCCTGCCCCTGCTCTCCCACAGTGGGGCTCAGGTGGGCACTGAGATTTCCTTGGTCTCTTGGGCTTGGTTTCACCAGCTGGGAAATAAAGAATGCTGGAATCAGCTGCTCTGGGTGATCCAGCTGCTGTCCCAGGGGCTGGGAATGGGGATTCTTTTGAGGATGTTTGAGGATCAGTCTCTGAAATACCCAGCAGCAGTGCAGGACCAGTCTCAGAGGTGTGATGTCTCCACCCAGCTCCCAAAACCCGAGACCAGGGCAGCTCCAGGGGCTGCTCCCACAGGATGGGACAGCAAGGCTGCAACAGAAATTTGTATAATTGCAGATAACTAAAAGCAGCCAGGGTCCCATGGGAATTTGTCAGCTCTGAAATCACAGGTCAGGCACACTTGGGGGAGGTGTCTCTGCCAGCAGCCCTCTCCTGAAAAGGCTCTGATCAGCAGCAAGTCACCAGGCTGGTAAGAAGTGGGAGGAGGTGACAGCTGGCATCCTGCTCCTGTCTGCTCTGCCCTGGAGTGAAGGCAAGGTCCTCATTCCTGCAATCCCTGAACATGCTGCTGGCAGAGGAAAGGGTCAGGGAGGAGTCTGGCTGAGGAACTCGGGATGAACGTGTCCCACAAGGTGCTGACCCATCACTGACCCATCACCTGCTGCAAGTCTCATTTTGTGAGTGCAGCATCAGCCCCACCAAAAGCTCCCCTGAGCTGTGTCCATCACAGCCACCTGCAGAACAGGGCTGTGATGGCTCTGGGGGGCAGCCTGGACAGCAGCCTCCAGGGTGGGGAGGAACAAAGGGATGGGAGGAAGAAAAGGGAGAGGGGAACTGCTGAGACACCCCAGCCCTCTCCCCTGGAAGGAAACAACTTCTGGGAGGGGAGGGGAGCAACTGCTGCCAAGTTCAGTTTCACAAATGCACTCCAGAGGTTGTTTGCCAGTTTGTGCCACTGTCCAAGCCCTCCTGCAGGCTCTCAGACCCAGCAGTGGCCAGAACCAGGTTGCCCAAACACCATCTGGTCATGCATTGGCTCTGGCCACGCCGGACGTGCAGGTGGCTCTGACGGGGGAAGCACTGCCCTCCCCTCCCAAAACAAAGTGTCAAAACCAAACAGGGGAGCCTGGCAGCCCCCAGGCAGCGTTTCTGCCTCGCAGAGATCCCACAGCTGACTCTCCCATCTGGTGGCTGTTGTCATGGCAAGCAGAGAGGGGAAGCAGCAGCACAAGAGCTGCTCAGTCCTTGACACGCTCCATCCTTGGCCTGATGGCAGCTCCCCAGCAGAACAATCCCAACAGCAATTACTGAGGAGCTTTTAGAAAGCAAAAACAGATTAAAAAGCTATTTGAAACCTTGAGGCTGAATGCAGAGGGAACAGGAGAGCCAGGGCTGTGTGAGCTCAGCAAACAAGGAGGAGACACAGAGACACTTCTTGGTGGGCCAGCTGAATAGAGCCTGCTTGTCACCGAGCCTCGGGGACAGCACTTGACAAAGGGACAATTGCTGCTGCTTTGTGAGTCTTGGTTGCAGTGTGGAAAACCTTCAGGGAGGGGCTGAGGAGCTGATCTGTGCCCCTGCCAGCACCAGTGCCAGGCACAGAGGAGGGGACAAGACTAAAGGTGACTTTCAAGTGCAGGATTCAATTAAAGTCCAGCCACACCAGTCACAATTCCACTGGCTGGGTTATTGTCTTGCCTTGCTGGAGGATTTGGAGAGTATCTACAAAAAAAAACTTTTTTACTGTTTCACAAATAGCAAAAGCTTTATTTATTTTAAGTTTCCAGTAGTAAAAGACCACATAAAAGTTGTGAGGGGTGGAGATGAGAACAAGAAAATAATAAACACAAATGACCAGAGCAGACTAAACACATTCACTGAGCTCTTCTTGCCCACATTGAGCTGGCTCAAAAAACAGGTACAGGTTTAGGATAATATTCCAACAAAAGCTACAAAACACAACCAAGAGAATCACCACAAAGGGAAAAGTGGTCTTCAAAATAAAACAGTGCACAGAGCTGCCTGGATCACATTGTCCAGGACCAGATCCTTCCCTCAATCCAAGAGGAGTCTTTCCACAGCAGATTGAACAATTCTGGTTCAAACTCAGGTGGCATTACCCCATGGAGTTAAAATACAGAGGTAAGAAAGAAAAGGTTTCAGTCTCACTAGCACCAGAGCAATGTCAAATTTATCTCTGAGGGTGTTTTATAAAAGCTGGCCTCAGTTAAAAATCAAGCTGATGCCTCACAGTGGCACAGCAAGGATTGCCAGGCTCCTGTGCAGAGCTGGCACCCCTTGGTGTGGGAAATGAGAGTGGGAATGGGGACACGAGTGACCTGCCTGCCCTGCCCTGGGGTGAAGCACAGGGGACCCAAGGAGAGCTAGAAATGACACTCAGGAAATGAGAGTGGGAATGGGGACACGAGTGACCTGCCTGCCCTGCCCTGGAGAGCTAGAAATGACACTCGTGATTTTAAAAGCTCTTTCCAACTCAGTAGAGCTGGTGATGACAAAGGAACAGGTTTAAAGAAAATAGAGTAAATTCCTGAAAGTCTTTTCCCTTCTCCTTCTGCTGTGGAATTAACGTTGGCTGGCAGGCCAGGCTCTCTGAGGCACTGCAGTAACGAGCAAGAAAAGCCTCACCTGAACTGCCAAAAGCTTCAAGGCAAAATAGAGCTCTTTTTGGTGCCTAAACACAGTGGAAACTGAAGACCCTACAGGCCTAAACACACTGGAAACTGAAGACCCTACAGCTCTGAGAAGAAACAGCCCTGAAACCACAGCAGCACTTCAGCAAAAGCTGACAGCTGGAGCTCCTTCCTCACAAACAGCTGATGGTTTTGGCATTACCCATTCCACAGATGCAGTTAATGGCCAGGTTAACAACAGAGCATGCCATAAAACATCCCTCAGTGGAGAACAGCCTCATCCCCTGCTCTCCCCAGCACTGATGGTGTGGACCTCACACTCAGTGATTCCTTTTTCTGCCATCTCAGGGAGCCCAGGGGCTCCAAAGGTTTTGTTTCCATTTGTGAAAGGGCAGGAACAGACCCCAGAGGAAGGGTTGGAAGCATTTCACCAGCAAGCTGCCACAGCACATGAAGTGGGGCAGCAGTGAGGGAATGGCCCCTGTTGGGCCCTGCTCATTTGGAAAGCGAGTCAGGGATTGATTTCCCATCTCCTGCCCGAGTGTTCCAGCACCCAATCTCATTTATCTTCATACTGCAGCCATTTGTAAGAACACACACTACATGCACACAGAGTGCCCAGAGCAAAGGAAAACAGAACAAAAGAGAAATAACCAGGGGAAAGGCTGACATTAATGGCCACAAATTGCCTTCAACTCCGTGATTTCAGAGGGAACTTTTTGGAATCCTTTGTTTCTTCATAATAGACAGGTCAGCTCCAAAGCATTTCATAAAATCCACAGTCTCCCAGTGTGGGTTTTGTTCAGGCCTTCAAAGATCTAATTGCTCCAGAGATGTGAGGTAATTTGATTTTTCTCATGTGTCAGGCCTTAGAGGGAAATTGTCCATTCTGGAGGATAAGCAGGACCAGGGCATGCAGTTTTCAACAGCCTGACTCATGATGACACCACCAGAGTCAGCCAGATGCTCAAGACTTCCAGGAAAAAGGCAAAACAAAGGCCCTTGCTCATGTAAGGTGTGCACGTGGGAGGGGAATCTGCAGAGCTTTGCAGGATAAAGTAATTTGAAAGCTTTTATCCCATTTGGGCACTCACAGCCAGCTGGGCTGGGGGTGTGCTCCCCCCAGGAGCTGCAAATCTCCCCTGACCCCCACCCTCCCAGGAGCCAAGGGGAGTGAAAAAATCACAGCAAACTCCTTGGAGTGTTCCTTTACCCTGAGCAGAGAGGGAGGCAACAGGAGCACAGCTCCACCAGGTCCATCACCAGGAGCTCCTGGCTCCTGATGCCCCCTCCAAACTCCAACCAGAACAAAACACCAGCAAACACAAGGAGCACCAGGAGCACCTTCCCCACGGGATCCACGGGCAAACCCCAGCCCCAGGCTCTCTGTGGGGCTCTCAGAGGACAGGCAGGGGCTGTCCCAGCTGCCACCGTGCCACCAGCGCCTGGCACAAAGTCACCACTGGCAGCAGCTCCTGTCTGGAGCGGGTCTGAGGAGTGGCAGGATCCAGGAAAGGGCAGCTCCATCTTCGCCCCCCTCAGAGCCGTGTCCTGGCGTGGGCCCGTGGTTTGCCTTCAAAACAAACAAAGGACAAAAGTTTTGTTTGGGAAGCAGCCAAGGGGAGAGACCCCATATGGTTATTTCATGTCGCTTCTGTGCGCTCAGTGCCACTCTGAGAGCTCCCTAAAAATAATAAAGAGAACATCTATGCATCATTAGTCCAGCACTCAGGGCCCATTAGACTTGATTAAAGGAAGAAAAGCCAGGGGAAGGAAATGTGGAAAGAGGAGAAATGAGGAGCTGTGCTGCTAGAAGTGCTCCTTCAGTACGTGCTCCCCAGGCCAGAGAGGAAACCAAAGCTCAGCTCTGGCAGATCTGCCATGAGATCTTCCTGCTCTGGGCCAGGGACAGCAGCCACAGCACAGGGACAGCCCCAGAGCTGGGCACAGCACTGCCCTGCTCCACATTTGTCTCCTGTTGGCTGAACAAACCTGGGCTGACCCCTTCAGGCTCTGCTGGGACACTCTGCTCCTCCTCTTGGAGAGAGGACAGGGGAACCACAGCATTCAATGTGAATTGTTCAAGGCACCAGGAGTCCCAAAGCAAATTCCTCCCAGCAGCTGCTGCCTGGCATCCCTGCTAAAAGATAACCACAGAACCTCTCTGTGTGTTTACAAAGACTCCCAAATCCAGGCTTTTCACTTCTCCCCCTGCTCTTCCCTTCCTGCTTTGTTTGCAAAGCTGACATCAACTCCTGCCCTTGGTGCTTTGTGCAAAATGCTGAATGGAAAGTTGGAGTGAATGTATTGCAGAGGGCAGAGAATGAGTCTGAGGAGGTGGGGACAGGAGGCCAGACTGGCTGCTTGATCAAAGACCAAAGCACAGACCTCTGCAGGGGGAAAGAAGGCACAAAAATAGGAGTTTCATCCTCAGCAGCAGACTCGTTTTCTGATATATTGAGTGAAAGAGCCGAGAGAATGAATCTTTGTCATCCCTCTATTTTGAAGGAAGAAGCCTTCAATTTAAAACTCCATAAAGAGTTACAGGAGTAGTGAAAGTAATTTATTTTTTAGTTACTCGAGCCTTTATTTGCTGAACTCCAAGGCAGGCTTGAAAGAGCTGGAAATGTTTTGCTTCTACCACTCGAGGATGAAAATATTTTAATTCCCTCAAACACGGAAGGGGGCACAGGCTTCTCCTGAGGTTCATATTTACAAATGTATTGTATCTGGAATGCAAACTTTGAATCATTTCCTAATGCTGCCACTACCCAAAGCTATGTTTTATTTATAAGTACAGCAGGACCACTTGGTGCTCTGTGGATGGGAGGAGGCAGAGACAGCTCAAAGCTCCTCAGCCATGAAGGCACAATTCAATTTTTTCACTTTGGGGAAGACAGACAACTTATCCTCCTTGGCAGCAGGAAAACTCAATCCCAGTGAGCTCTGAGCAAAAGAGCAGCGCCCAAAATGTGGTGAGGCAGCCAGTGAAGGGAGCAGAGGCTGGGATGGGTGTGGGTGAGGGTCTCCCCTTCACATCTGATCCCTCTGTCCTTCCCAAACTGTGCCCTAAATGCAGGCACAGGGAGGAGGAGCAGGGATTTCCCACCTCTCCCAGCCTGATGCAAATCCAGCCCTGGAAATCCACACTAACAAGGAACAAGTCTGAAAACATTTAAGCAACTTTCTCACCAAGCACAGGAAAACAAAAGTCAACTCCCCAAAGACTGCCATGAAGCAAGTAATTAAAGAAATTACTACCTCATTTGGAGCCTAATTACTGTTAGGACATTTTTTTTTTCTTCCTACATGGAATGGAGTAGTCAGACCCACTGAAGCAAAATGTTACCTCCTCATGGTCCCTGAGGGAGCAAAGCAGACATCTGAGAAGAAGAATGGAAGTGAAAATAGAAGTTAATGCTTTAACTTCAAAGATGCCCAGAGAATTTCCTGCCACGACAATAATGCTGGATGGCTCTGCCTGGCTCATGTATTAACAGCTTGAATATTTATGAGCAAAAGTGGATGCCTAGCCCAGCCAGGGAGGCACTGAGCCCACAGAGAGACACCACCTCATTCCTAAATCCAGTCAATTCCTGAAAGACAGGGCATAAATCTCCCCAAATTAGAGAGAGCTGGAAGCAGCACTCCCTGTCCACCTCCCTCAGCTCTGCTCAGCCTCTCCCAGCACAAAGGAGGCACCCAGGAGATGCAGGAGAAGGGTTCAGGCTGGACCTGGTGACATCTGGGGATTTTTCCAGCAGGTCTCACCCTGTGCCTGCAGACCAGAACATTTCTCACCCTCAGCAGGCAGTGCCACCCCCATCTCAGCCCCCAGCCCTGTTTAACGTGGCTCTGTTGAGGTGCCAGCTGCTGCACCACTCTTTAAGTATTAATGATTTAGACAACACATTGGCAAGCAGGCAGAGATGGGGAGGCTGTGATTTGCACTCGCTCATTAGCTTCTCTCCTGGCTGCCTCTCAGACCTGATTCCAGCAGGAATCTGAGCTTCTCCAGCCCCACAGCCCGCGCCAGGCTCGCTCCCCACTCCCCAGCCAGCTGCTCATGGAACAGCCAGCAGGATTCACCATTTCTGGGACAGATTCCTCAGAAGATGCTGAGAACACACCCAACAGTGCAGAACTTGCTGCTGATCTGAGGGGAGATGACTTTGGTTTCATTTACCCCCTGCAGCAGCCCCCAGCTTGGATTTGTTATTTCCATTAAAAGCTCCCCCTGGGCTAATGAAAACCACTGTAAGATATTGATTATTTCTTTGTTTCATTCTGTTTAATACTCCCCTTCCTTAATAAAAACATCATAATTAACACAAGTGAGGATTTTGCTCTTTTTTAAGGCATCTCTCAGCATCAGCTGTGCAGCCAGAACAAGGTGAGTCACCTGCCCTAGCTGGGAGCAAGTAAGAGGGAAAAGGAAGACTGTGCTTCTTCCATATGTGCAAATTTAATTTTCTTTAGGATAAAACGTTCTTCAGGACAATGAGTGTGTGACCTTTCTCTTGAAAGCTATCACGTCAGAGCAGGCACCTCCAGGAACTGGAGCTTCAGAAGCAGAAGGAACAGCAGCCCCTCAAAAAATGGGGCTTTTGAAAGGCTTTGAGAGCAGGTGGCAAAAAAGAAAATTTAAAAATAATAAAACTGGCAGCCTCTCAACTCACCACTCTTCTGAAACTTTGGCTCATGGGCTGAGGTTGCCTAAATCCCAGTGCAGCTCTGACAATGAGTCATTTTATGACAAACTCCAGGCTTCATTATCTCCCTCAGCAAAGCCCAGGCGGAGCTGGAGCAGCGCACTGGAAACCTCCAACTTCTCCTCAAGAGCTCCTTGTCCTCCCCTGGCCAAAACCCTGCTGCTGGCTTGGCCTTCAGGCTGAAAGAGCCCAGGACAGTGAGAGCAGCTGCTTTTGCAGCACCTCTCCCCAGTTCCCTGCTCTGGAGGTGGCCTGGGATTTCTGGATGCTCCGAGAAGCCGCGCTTGGGAGCGGAGTTAGAGCAGAGGTGAGAAAAGAAGTGCAAAGAAAGAACAACACCTGAGGTGATAATATGGAGCAAAAACTGCTCCTGACAGGGTGTTCTAAAGGTGCAGAAAATCATCTTTTAGCAGCCCAATTCTGCAGCTGAGGATCAGCAGCTGAAATGAGGAAGGATCTTTGCCCCTTGCTCTGCTTTTGGGGCAGGGCAGAGCTCAGGGGATGTCCAAAAGCCAGGGAGATGCTGGGAAGAGTTTTGTCAGCCCTGACATCCAGCACCCACCACTCTTTAAATACATCCACATCAAGAGCAGCCTCTGTTTGTTGGCAAAGAGAGGCACCCAAAGTGCTGAAGTACTCACTGCTGATTTCCTGCCTCCCTGCCCAGATTTGGGGAGCCTGCATCAGAGCTCTGAACAAAGCAGCCCCTTCTGCAGGAATATACTGAGAAATAAATGACCCCAGACATAAAAAAGATCTTTACAGAAACTCCCTAGGCAGCCAACCTGGCTTAACCTTTTCCTTAGCAGGATCCTCTCTGCATCTAAGGGCCAACTTTAACTGGGCTCAGGAGATTGCTTCAGTTTTCCTTTTTTTAAATATCAGCCCGTGCTCCCGTGCTGCCTGTCACTTCAGCTCTCCCCCATCTACAGGGAGATCCCACTGGAAAGATTTGACCCCTTGTGCCAAGCTTTGCATATGGAGTTTTTAGCAGGAAAAAGGGGTTTTTTTTCTTTTTTTTTTCCTTTTTTTTTTTTCCTCTGAAATAGAGTTTGCACTGTCATGGCCAGGCAGCAGTTGGCTCAAAGAGCAGGCAGAGAAGCTACAGAACACTGAGTACAAACACATTGTCCAGGAGTGGATCCATCCATCCATCAGAGGCAGCACCCAAAGGGTCACCTGCTGTCCACCAAACCCATTCCAATCCCAGGGACAACCTGCAGCTCCTCTCCACAGGCAGCAGGAATCCACCCTCTCTAATCCTGCTTAAAATAAACCCCCAGCCCAGGGCAGGCTCTAATCCAGGGGGAGGAAGGACAGAGCAGAAGAATTATTTGTTTGGTTTGTCTGGTGAAAAACTAGAAGAAGAATTACAAGTTTTCTGGAAGCTGGGGAGGGAGGGAGAGCAGAGGAACAATTTTGTGCTGCCTGTTTCTGGCAGGAAGTGTGGGGAGGGAGGGGGACCACGACTCCCTGGTGCACTGAAGGATGAACCTGCCTTCTCTAATCCAATTTATGCCTCAATATGGCCAGCACCAAGCAGGCTCAGGAAGAACAAGGGAGGCAGTTCAGAGGGCAGGAATGCTCAGGAGGGAGCAGGGCTGGATGATAACTTGAGGGGTTAGTGACTAAATTAGTGGGAGCTGCAGAGAGAACACATTTGCATCTCTTTCAGCTGCTTCAGGTGTGATAGCAGCCTCTGCCTTCCCAGTCACTTAATTGTTCTGAGGTTTTTGATGGGGGGAAAAGTGTCTTTCTTCTGCACTGCAGAGTTCTGGGAAGAGCCATGCTTGGCTTTAAGAGCAACCTCACTTCAGGAAAAATGTTACTCGGTCTCATAAAGCTGCTGGACTTTGCTTTGCTTCAGGAGGAGCTCAATCTGTTCTGCTGGCTCTGCAGGACACAGAGGAGCTCTGCAGGGCCACAGCCCCGGGCTCTGAGTGCTGCTGGCCGTGGGTGCAGGCAGCTCCCACCCCAGACCATTACTCATGATGCAGAGAAGGTTTTGCATTCAGGGAAGAAGGTGTGACACTGCGACAGCATCTGCTAACACAAAGAGGAGAAGCAGAGAAAAGTCATCCCGGGGCCACAGCTTTCTGTGCCTCTGGGAAAGCACACAAAGCCTCTGGGAAAGCTGTGCTCCCAGGGAATGCAGCCCCAAAAAGCAGGGATGTGCCCAGAGAGGGGGTGAGCTTACCAGGGGTGCTGGTGCCGGCGTCGCTGTGGCGCCTGTCCGGGGCTCGGTCACTCTCCGTGGGGCTGAGCTCTGCCCCCTGCTCACTGCCCAGGCTGCTGTGGCTCCCCCACACCTGGGGGCACTGGGGGGTCCCCAGGGCTGTGCCCGTGGCCTGGCTGGGTCCCCTGGTGGGTGCTGCAGGGACAGGACAGAGATGCTGCTGAGGGCGTGGGAAGGGGGTGGTGTTGGGGAAGATGGAACAGGAAAGCCTCATAAATGTGATTGCCTGGCAAAAGATTTTGAGCTGTAAACTATAAGCAAGACTGAAATGAAAGCAAGCTTTGAGATACCTTAGTTACTGAACAACTGGAAAGCAATGGTATGGCTGGCTGATTTGATGGAACAATCCCCTGTGCTTGCAGACAGGCCCAAGGGTCAGAGCAGACCCTACTAGCTGGGCAGAAGGGGTCCAAAGAGCAGTTTTTAAGGTTTAAAATGTAATACAGTATGGTAATGTAATGATTCTTATAGGCTGTATGTACCTGCTGTAGGATTTGTATCTTGTATTATATTGGTTAGTGAGAATTAGAATATTCAACACAGAAGATTTATGATATTGTAACGGGAACCATTGGTTCATTCTCCCTTTATCATGCTCTTTTTGCCCAGGATTCTTCTCCTGGGAAGCTGAGAAGCCTCCGAGAAAAAGGAAAACAACAATTATCTCATTTGCTTCTTCTGTGTTTTGCTCCTTTGCAATGTGGTTGGAGATTGTTTACCAACAGGTGATTGTTCCATTGATTTAATGGGAATTATTTTGTCTCTTTGGCCAACCAGTGCCAAGCTGTGTCAGGACTCTGGAAAGAGCCACAAGTTTTCATTATTATCTTTTTAGCCCTGTCTGTATCCTTTCTGTATTCTTTAGTACAGTTTAGAATAATATGATATAATTAATATAATATAATATATACTATAATATACTATAATATACAATATATAATATAATATAATATAATATAATATAATATAATATAATATAATATAATAGGCTTCTGAGAACATGCAGTCAGATTCATCATTCCTCCCTGCCACAAGGATCCCCACAACACAATAAGGAGCAGCTCCCAGCTTCTGGAATGCTGCAAGCCATGGAAGGAGCCAGGGAGAAATCCCAGGGAAAAGGCTCAGACCCTCACCCAGCACAGCAGGGAGGGCAGGAGAGCAGCTGAGCCAAGAGCCAAACTTTGGAGCACTTTTCACCTCCCACCCTCCAGCCACAAGGAACTGCAGCTCCTCACCCATTCCTGCCTGGAGCTTCCTCCCTTGAGAGCCTCTGGGTCCCACGGGTTTGTCATCCAGGCTGGAGGAGCTGAGCTCCTCGCTCTCACTGTCACTGGAAACCACTGCAGGAAAGGTCAGGGAGAGGAGAGAGACATTTACTCACAGCGTTCACCAACACTTCCCAAAGAGCTGCCAGATGGATGCAAATCAGACAGGAGCCAACCCTGACTCCCTGCTCACCTTCTCCCTCCCCAAAGGAGACCCCACCTGCAGCTCCCCCGAGCTGCTCCTCTCCAGCACGATGTGGTTTTACCCCTTGCAGATGAGTGATGACTCCAGAAGGTGCAGACACCACCAGGGCTTCTCTCCTAAAGCTGACAGGGACCATGGGGATGCTCCTGTGCCCCCCTCTGCTCCCACTGACCCATCCCAGCACCCCAGCAAGCCCCCTCCTCCTGGTATTTGCTGCCTCCCACCCCAAGTGAGGCACCCTTGACCCTCTAAGGGAAGGTGCAGGGCTGGTTCCTGCTCAGCTGCACCTGCTCCACCCCTGGGCAATGTGGGCAGAGGGGCTCTTCCCCTCCAAGCTGCATTTCCAGCGTGGCAGGATCCAAGAGGAGAACACCAGGTAAATCCTGAGCACATCCAATCATCCCCATCAGCAAACTCTGTTACTCCAGCATCCCCAAAGCTCCAGAGGGTCACTGCTTTTCCTCAAGGAGTCTCTTCTCCTGTCTCAAAGCTGCTTTTTTTCCTCTGTGTTTTTCTTCCCCCTGAATCCTGGCTCTCTTCCTGCTGCTTTCCACTCCCCATATTTTCCAGAAGAGCTGGAGGAGCCTCATTTTGCCAGACACAGCTTCCCAAACTGGCAGGTTCTTTCCACTTTTCCATGCAATTATGCAAACACCTCTCCTGCTTACACTGGTGTAAAAGATAACTCGACTGCCAGCTGCTTTGGGTAAAATAAAAATGGTGTTTTTCCCAATTCCTGGGGTTTTTTTGTGGTGGTTTGATCTCAGAACAGAAATTGTGAGGCTGAGGAGGAAGGTAATGGGAAAAAAATCTGGTTTTTGTTTGAGGGATTGCACTTCTCCATCTGAGCAGGCAGATACCAGCTCTCCTGGCAGCCACTTCAAACAGCAGGTCCCAACTCCTGGTGAAAAGTACAAAATCAGCCCATGAGGGATGTAAAGAAGGTGACACTGCAACCTGCAGCTCTCCTGTGGGAAAAGGAAGCCCCAAGGATTTTTTTTAGGTCCACCAGGACATCTCCAGAAGCTCACACTGCTGTGAGAAGTGATTTTCTCTGTGACTGAACAAACCCCAGGGCTCCTCCCAAGCTCAGAGAGGGATGTGGGTGCAGGGGAACAAGGTGACAAGGGTAACACAGAGCTGTCATTTCATCTCTCTGTGTCAGCCCAAACCCCTCAGCACTCCCCAGGGCAGCAGGATGGGAATCCTTCCCCTTGCACAGAGCAGGAGCTGTCAAATATTCCTGCCAAGCACCTCTGCAGGCACTCCTGTACTCGAGGATCTGTACTACACAAAATATTTCATTTAAAAAAAGAGGAATGAATACCTAAAGTAATGCTAACATCTCTGAGGATATTAAAGCTGGCAGCCAGTGTTATTGCAAAGCATTATTGAAGTTGCCTGGCAGGCAGCTCCTCACACACACCCTGCAGGGAAAAAGGCTCTTTCAAAAGCTGGGGGGCTGCAATGCTGGCTAAGAGTCCTCAAAGCAAAGGTTTGTCTAAAAAACATCTTCATTACTACCTGGGAATTTCAGGTTCAGGAAAAACATCTTCAGAACTCCCTGGGAGAGGTGGGGGTTCTATATAAACACTGTTAAAACAATCCATACATACCAGAGTGGGGCTTTTTTCCCCTATATAATCCAAATCTCAGCTGCAAGACTCATTCTGACCATCTTATTGCTCAATTCTCTCAGAAAATTAAGTCCTGTTCCACTTGGTCATCATCTTTTTTTTTTTTTCTTTTTTTTTGCTCTCCTGGATTCATAAAATCCATTTCCTCAGAACAGCTCCTTCCTCCATGAATCCTCTGAAAATGCTGGGAGCCAGGATTTATTTGGAGAAGGCCCCAGTGAATCAGTGGAGGTGACTTTAGCTGCCTGTCCTGCTGCCATTCAGCAGCTCAGAGAGAACCAGCACAAGAGGAAGAAAATATTAATGACTCGAAGGCACTCTCACCACAGGACCAGCCCTGTCTGCTCTCATTTCCTCTGCTGCCAATAAGAGTGTCTTTTACTCACTGCACCAAAGTCTCCCTTTCAGGTAATCCTTCATGCAAACCTTCTGCTGGCACTTTCCAGAGCCCAGAAGTATTAAATCTGGTGTTCCAGCAGTTGCTGATATATCAATAAGAATTGTTGGACAGCTGTTCTTTCAGAGGATGGAACAGATTTATCCCTATCTCCAGCTGACTGGGGGGAAAAAAAAAAAAAGCTCATAAAACAAAATCTGCCGAGATAAAACTTGCTAGAAAAGCAATATTTCCACAGGGAATGGGTCACTCACTGGGAGCCTGGAGCCCTGCAGCTGCTGGCAGAGCTCAATCCCAATCCAGGGGCACCCAGGGGGTGGTGAAGGACAACTGCTGGCTGTTCTACCCCAGAGGAAATCAGGACATGGGGAGGCTGTGCTGAGCCAAGGGGAAGGAGCACTTGGCTGGGGCTGGGAGCTGGTATTAAATGTGTGTTTTTGGCACAGGAAGAGCCATCCCAGCTCCCTGGTGCTGCCAGCACAGGGCAGGGCCCAGCCTGGCACACACATACAGCCTTTGGCACCTCCTGCAGCTGCCAAAACCAGCAAAAGCACATGGGAATCTCAGCCCCAGGATGAGCACAGACCCTGAGCAGGGCTGCCCTGCAGCACCCAGAGTTTTGGCAAGCACAGGGAGCAGGGAGGGCGACAGCTTCCTGGTCACTGCAGGTGGGGAAGTGAGAGAAAATGAGGATTTTTACAGCCTGGGTTGCACTGAGGGCAGCTCCCCTGCCAGATCACACCCTGTGCTCCTCCAAGAAGGAAGAGGTGACTGGACCCAGCCCTTGTCCCTTTCAGGAGCTGCAGTTTGCAGCTTTGGCACTGCAAAGTTGGCAAGTTGGGTTCTCCCTTGGTGGCCTGCAGACACTCCCCAGCACATCCCTCCCTGCTCCATCCCTCAGGAATTTGGCCACTGCATCCCCCCTGCCCAGCTGCTGCTCCCGTGCCTCTGGCACATCCCATGGCTTGGCAACAGGGATGGAACAGGAAAATCCCCCAGGGAGCAGCAGGCAGCCCTCCTGCCAAAGAGTGCAGCAGCTCAGGGATCACATTTCTGTTTGTTTCCCACCTTTTTCCTGCACAGCTCAGAGCCTGGATGAGGAAAACCCTGCTGCTCTTGCTCCCTCCCCCTGACCCAGTGCAGAATCCCACCCACATTCCAGCACATGGAGCAGAGCTGCTGCCCAGCAAAAGAAATATTGCTGCTATTCTCCTCCTGACAATACATTTGTGCCTTAATTAATAGCAGGGTTCCCATGGCAACTGCTTGTTTATAACAGAAAAACTAAAGGCACCAGCAAATCCCAGTGTCAGCGAGCACAGGAGAAATACTGGGTGTGCAAAAATAAAACTTCTGCCTTCCACCCTCCTGCAGTGGGAGCAAATTCCCAGGTTCTGACACTGATCCCTCCCTTTTGAGGGGGGAAAAAGGGACTCCTGAAGTTTGTCCCATCTCTGCTGGCACGGAGGGTGCCCAGGGGCTGTGGCAGGACTGGGCTGGCCCCACCTGCAGAGCTCAGAGCTGGCTCCTTCAGCACATCAGAGACCAGCAGAGGGGCTGGCCAGGGCTGGCCAAGATGATGGGAACCCCGGGGAGAGCAGCCTGTCAGAGGGAGGAGTGTTAAATGCCAGAGCTCATTCCCAGGAACATCCTGCCAAGCCAGCTCCAGGGCTGTGCTCCGAGCTGCAAGGACGTGTCTGGGGGAGCTGCACGAGGTGGGAGCTGACAAATGCCACCAGCCAGGCAGGGGGAACCAGCTCAGCCCAGCTCCAGCTGCAGGTTCACCGTGGCAATATCATGGATCCACATCTCCACGGGGGAAGGAGGCTGCCCTGCAGAGCTGGGGGATGACAAAGAGCAGGAGTCCCAGCACTGGCAGCTTCAAAGGAGGCAAAAGGAGGGGGGAGATGCACAAGCTCCCAGCTCCAGAGATGAATTACAGCCTGCAGTGCCCACTGAAAGCTGGCCAGAGGACAGGCAGCCTCACAGAGAAGGGCAACAGGGAAAGAAAGCACCAGAAAATAAAGCCATAAATTAATATTACCCAAGTCATAAAGCAGCAGCCAGACAAACATCAGAGAGCAGGGACAGAGGCAGCTCACCACCCACATCAAAGCTTACCAAAGGTCACTTTGCTGTCCTCCCCCTGCTCCTGCCTGTATTTATGGGGAAGCCTTCTCCAAAAAACAGAAATCAGTTGAAAAGCTGAACTAAGCAGCAGGCCAGGCCTGGGCTCAACAGCTCAACAGCTTCAACTCTTAACGTTTTCTCTATCATGTGAACAAAAAACAGCCTCATCAATCAGTCCTGCTAAGACAACTCCTACCAAGAATCTCCTGGAGGGCAACACAACCATCTACTGTTGATCTAATTTGTCTTTAATTACAAAAGTTACAGTAGGGCTGGGAGTGCTTTCTTCGCTGGGCCCTGAAGAGCAGGTTTGTAAACCCAAGGCTCCTGAGGTTTCTTTATTAAAAGGTTATTTCCCCCTGCACTTCTGCTAAGTGGAGGAGTGCATGCAGCTGGTTCACTTGAGAGGGCTTCTCCAGCTGAGGGGATCTAACAGCAAAAAACAGAAGGGGAGAGGCCAGACAGTTCTGCTAATCCACCCAGAGAGAGAGGAAATCAAAGCAGACTGGCAGCAGCTCTGATTCTGCAGCACTCACATGCTGGCAGAGCAATTCCTAACCCAGCTCACAGCGACTTGAGGAATCTGCCCAGCAGAGCAGCAGAAACGAGGAGCAAGGAGGGAGGGAATGAGCCACTGGGTCAGCCTTGGCTGCACAGTGCTGTCCAGCAGTGGCACAGTCCCTGGAGAGCAGCAGGAGCAGCTCCTCAGGCAGCTCTCTGTTCCATGGCTGTGTAGTGAAGGACAAGGAATGAAAAAGGGCTGCACAGTGCTGTCCAGCAGTGGCACAGTCCCTGGAGAGCAGCAGGAGCAGCTCCTCAGGCAGCTCTCTGTTCTGTGAAGGAGAAGGAATGAAAAACAGTGGGGTGAGGGCTGCAAGGAATGGAGGAAAGCAGGGGTGGAGTGTAGGACAGGCACTCCAGGACGACTGGGACTAATTTGTGCCACCAACACGCACTTAAATATCAGCAAATCCTCCACAAACCACGAAACTCCAACATCCACATGGGGAACACACCACACCTCGTGGGACAACACCTCTGACAGACAACTTCCCTGACTGCTGGGAAGCAAGAGGAGAAGGAGCTGGCTCCTTCTGGGTGGGAGAACCAACCTTTTCCCCTGGCCCAGGTGAAGGAGCAGCTGCTCCCGACGCTCTCGGCCGCCTCGCCCTGCCAGGGCTGGCCCTGCAGCTCCAGGGCTCTGCTGCTGCTGCTCTTCAAAGGCGTGATGTACTTGGGCAGCCCTTTGTAGAACCACGCCCCAGACCTCTTCCAGACCTGCCAGAGACACAGACAGGACACTTTAAGCTGGGTTTTTACAGCGAAATGAGCTCCCCACCAAGCTCGGCCCGGCCGCTCGCGCCGATCCCAAATTCCTGCCCAGATTCATCTCTGTCCTCCTTCCACAGCTGAAAAACCCCAGCTGTGAGGAAGCAGCAGGTACAGATGGCAGGAGGAGCAGAAGGGGATGGCAGAAGTGCTGCCTCATGCTGGACCTGCAGCACAAGCCCAGTGTTCATCTCACAGAGCAATCCAGGCCAAGCCAGGTCGTGTAACGAGCTTGAAAACCCCAGAATGAGAACAACACTCAAATAACCTGAACCTGCAGCAGGAAATGGACCTCGAGCACCAAACTGTAATATCTGCTGTAAGAACAGCCTCTCCTCTCCAATTTAGCTTTAATGCAGCTTATGATGAAGGCACTCTATTAAGTATATTTAATATAAAGCCTGCTGTAAGCCAGGGGAAGGGAGAAGGGTGGCAGCTCAGACAAGGAGAAATGGCCTCATACAAACCTAATTCTTGTGTGCCTTCCAGCAGCCTGATAATGAGCTAATGACACAGCCAGGGCAAAAATAAGTTAACATAGTAAAAATATCATTTTTTACTTCTTGCACTTCTGCTCAGTGAAGGAGATCATCAGTGTTCCCACTCCAAGTTCCCAAAGCACTTTACACACAGTTTCATCATGATGGCAGTGGGTGCAAATGCAGATATCCCTAATTGCAGCAACACATTAGAGCCTTTAGAGCTTAATGAAGGCAGAGGGCAGTGCAAAACCTGACATTCAGGAGGACACCTGTAGTGACAAAATCTGACATTCAAAAAGCAGGACAGCAGCAGCCCCACTACACTGATGGCTGCCTGGCTCCCAGAGCCACCAAGAAAGCTCAAATCTCTGTGTTTGGGGTCTTGAAAGCCAAGTGCAGGCGATCTGAATGCAGAGGGGGAGCTGGGAATGTGGTTTTTAAAGAAATCCACCCAGCAGGAGAAGAAAGCAGAGCGCGGCTGTGACCCAGCACACGTGCAAGGGGGAAGCTCGTGCATCACAGCAGGGTCTGCAAACCAGCAGGTGAGAGCATCCTGCAGCTCCACCAACGTTCTCCCAGCAGGAGGGTGAGTCTGCCATCCAGGCACAAAGCTGGGAAGCCAATTTCCCCAAGACTGCAAGTTGTTCTTCTGCAGAGGGGGTTTGGCAGGCAGGACACCTCAGCAGCTCCTTCTCTGCTCTGCCAACAGCCAAAGTGACCCAGCCAGGCAAGGCACAGGCTGACACAGCTCCTTCTGTCCCTTCTGCTGCCACGTGGGGACTCACAGCAGTTGGTGCAGTGTGTCAAACAGCACATGGCAGAGCAGCACAGGGACCCTGCAGGAACGGGCTCTGCTTGCTGAGAATCAAGAAATGCAACAGATTTTGAAGTGTGGGACAGACTTCTCTGCACAGAGCTCAGGTACACGTGGCCCGTGCAGGAACTGCAGGCTGGGCAAGCCCAGGGGTCCCTGGGGAAGGCAGGAGCTTTTGGGAGCAGCAGGAGAACAGGGACAGGGCTGGAAATTGTCCATCCCTGACACACGCTGGGGATCTGGTGCACACACACCTTCCCTGGATGAACTGCTGGGGAGGAAACAGCCCTCTGGTGCAGTCACTCTCTGAACAGACCTTGCAACATCTGTAATTTAATTTGAAGCACTGGAGAGACCTATTATCTTCAGGCAAGCTCCAATTTAGACACACCATAAAACCAATCAGACACAGCACGGGTGGCTGCAACAAAGGCTGGTCACCCCCAGGTTCCTCACTACCCCAAAGCAAGTCGTTACAGAAAGAGTTAATGACATAACACACCCAGCTCTGATGTGGTAATACTACTATAAAATTGATTCTCTGCATACATATTCCCTTTAAATTGGTGCTTCTAATAGAGTTTGGTCCTATTATGGCAGCAGCGAAATTGTTTTGAAATCAGCTCTGAAATAACTGCAGCAAGACGCTCTCCCCTGGATGGATTCAGTCCCTCTGCCCCTCCAGGTTTGCAGCACAGCCCATCCCAAAGGACCAGGGATCACATCCTGCTCTGCACATGGGGCAGTTTGAGCATTCTTGGATTAAAACTCCATGTTTTGATCCAAGGTTGATGTTGTTGACTGCTATTGATGGCATTTGATTGATGGCCAGAGTGGCCTGACAGCAAAGTCCTTGCTTGATTTTAGATTAATACATCTGTAACAGAGCCTTGAGAATAAAATTCTTGTTTATCAGCAGGAGTTTACTCTTGCCAAGGAAGGGAGGATGCTGCTCCCACCAGTTCACATGAAGGTGAAATCTGTTCCCCACAGCAGTCTGAGTTTGGGTGGAGCTGGAACGTCACCAGGGAGAGGGACAGCCGTGGCCATGACAGATAAATGCCTTTTACAACCCTGATAATATTCCCATTAAAGCTGCATCAAGCCATCATTGCAGCTATGGAGTGACACACGCAGAAGCAGATGGGGATTTTATCGAGCATTTTCAAGTGCAGCCTGGAAATGGGACCTGACAGAGAATCACTGGGCCCTGGTGAGACTCATGTTGCTGCTCTGAGCTTACAAGTGCTAAAACAAGCTCCTGAAGAGGGAAAACATTAGGGCTTGCTGATAAAGAGGTGGATCACAGCTGAGGGAATCACAACAAACACTTGCAGCCTCCCCAGAGCCCTCCTCACCAAACCACATCCCCCAAACAGAGATGCTTAGAAAAGAGCTTTGCTGCAAAGCCACATTTTGCTCCAGCACCTCCTGCTCGTGCCATGCAGTGCTCCCACCCTGCAGCCCTTTCCTTCACAGCAATTTGGGCTTGGTGACAAAGCCACAGTTTGCTCCACCACCTCCTGCAGCCCTTTTTCACAGCAACCTTGGTGAGAGGAAAACCACCACTTTCACCTTCCCAGGCTGACACCAGCAACACCAAAAGGTGGGGAAGCAGCTTGCTGTGGGCTACAGAGAGGAAAAAGGCCCCTGCAGATGCAGCCTGCCTGGGAGGAGCTGCTGGCATGCCCTGCCTGCAGCACAGCCCCACAGAGTCCCTCTGTCTGTCCCAGCTCTCCAGCAAACACCGCTGGGCAGAGCCAGCGCTCCTCAGCCTCGTTATCTGCATTCATCTGCTTTTCCATAACACAGAGATTTCCAATTACATTATTTACAGCAGGCTGCTGCCGACTCCCACATTGGGCACTTGAGGATGAAGGAAATTAAAAGGCAGTGGAATTACCATTCCCAGCTTTGTTTCTGGAATAGCAAAATCCATCGCCCCCCTGACCCCGGCGTTTCTCAAGCTGCACTGCCTGCCAGCCTTCAACCATTTATCATCCCCCTTTCAATCAGGCCTCTTTTTTTTTTCTCCCACCCGTGGCTCTATTCTAGAGGACACTATTTTGAGTCTAACTACTTGCTGCCACCCCCAAAATAATATGGCAGAGGCTATTGATGAGTTCTTTCAATTGCAAACAGGTGCACATCGCTCCTATTCAATCCAGAGTCACCCAAAATAAACACCCTTCTCCATCCGTGGGGTGTTTTGCCAGGAAATCGTCATGCCAGGCAGGAATAACCCCAAGCTATGTTGCTTTACAGTGTTCCAAGTGGTAGGAGTGGATATTTGAAAAGGGAAGCCCCGGGGGCAAAAGGGGAGGAGGTGACTCTGCTCCTCTCTTTGCGAGGTTTGTTGTGATGAACTGAGAAATGCAGCCAGCCTTGAAAATGCTGTGTAGTGGAGGAGAAGGAATGAAAAGGAAAGTGAAGCAGAGAGGGCAAATTAAAACTTTTAACAGGTCCCGGGTAGCTGACACTCCTTTTCATATTTGAGGGAGTTTTAAAAAAAAAGCTTCCCCCCCACCCCACTGAAATTGCTTTCATTATCCTTACAATTCTGGATGTGTCAATTCAAATGTAAATGTGCACAAACGCTTCCAAGAGGATTTTAATTACAATGATAGCATCGCTAATTATGGATATATATATAAAAATATATGTATAAGGGGTAATTCAGGAAGGTGTTCTGCAGAATCTGGTGCCACCAGTCAAAACAAGGCTGTGCAGAGAGTTAAAGGGCTGGGCAGGGATTTGACAAAACCCAGCAGGTCCCTTTTCCCCTTCAGGCCAGGAGGTGACAGGCAGATTTCGGCCAGGCACAGCTAATTCAGGGTGGGCAGTGCTGCTGTGCCAGAGGTCTGGCAGCAGGGAATCCTTCCAGCTGTGCATTTACCAGCCAAGTCCTGCTGCTGCAGCCCTTGCACTGCAGGAGCTGCTCCCTTTCTGCCCTCGGATCTCATTCCCAGGGAGTTCCACTGCAAACCCACAGCCTGTGCTGGCTGCAGCCAGGATCAGCATCCCTGGGCTCCCACGGGATGCTGCAGGAGCAGGACTGCCCCAGGGGATCAGCCCTGCACACTCTGACTGCTGAAAGGTGAAGCAAGATCAAGGAAAGGAGGAGGGAAGGAGGAAGGGAGATCCTTGCCCTCAGAAGTGAATGTGAGCTGAATTTGGTTCTGCCTTTGCTTGCAGGAGCACTAAACAACAATCCACAGCATCCAAAGACACTGTGAAGGAAAACACCCACAGAATCCTGGAAAAACAAAGGAGGGTTTTGCTCCCTCTGCAAACAGCTGGGACAAACACCTCTGGAGGGATGCAGGTGAGGTCTGGCTTCCTCCAGGATGCACTGATGGTGTGGGGCTGCCTGAGGGTGCTGGGGGATGTTCCCTTTGCAGACACAGCCCCTCACCCTGCCCATCCCCTGCTGCTCTGCTCTGCCTGGGATGCCTGGATGCAGGCAGGGTCCCAGGAAGCAGCAGGCAGAGCCCATCCCTCGCCTCCACTCTCCAGAAATAAGAGCAGCTCGTTGCTCGTGGCTCTGCAGCGCAGCCCTCCCAGAGGAGCCTCCCAAGGAAACAGAAAGCAGCAGGGAGGCTGAGGACAGGATTCCCAGAGGGATCTGTGGGCACCAGGCACTGGGCTCTGACTGCAGAGCTGATGCTTCCACAGCTCGTAGCTCTGGAGCTGGTTTTGAGCCAGGCTGGGTGATGGTTTAATCACAACCAAGGCTGCAAAAGGGGGACCCTAACCCCAACCTCAACCCTAACATGTCACTAAACTTCTGCCAGCTCAATTCCAGCCTGCAGGGCTAAATAATAACATGGGAAATGAAGGGATGAAGGAGTGTGGACAATGCCACAGGCTGCAGCTGTTAGCTGGTGCATGGGATGTCCAACCCCAGCACCCCAGATCCTGCTGGGCCACATTTATTCTGATTTACCTCAACTCCTTTGCCCAAGGTTTCTCTAATTCTCAGTTCCCAAACCCCCAAAATAAAGGCAGGGTGTGTAGGAGGAACAGGGGATGGATGATTTGATGTCTGTGCGCCCTCACTGTGACCCTCCCAACCTTCTCCTGCTCAGGGCACCAGCAGCAGCATAAATAAAAAAGGACACAGACTTGAACCCACCTTAAAGAGAATTAGAAAATAAAGCAGAAGCTACAGGTTGAGAGGCAAGTTGAGGCTGTGATTTAGTCTAAGAAGGGAAGGTCCATCCATTTTCCTCAGGGATGCACTCTGGCTGTATCTCAGGGCTCACAGAGTGAGAGCTGGAGGTTATCATACCCTCCCACTCTGGCCACACATAACACGTGCTGGACACATTAATATTCTCTGCCTACTGACCAGGTTACTTATTATTTTCTAAGAAATAGGAAAAAACCCACAGCAGTACAGAGAGATTGAAAAAAACAACAGAATAAAGGAAATAAAGCAAATTTTAGTCCCTGCGTTTCCCTGCAGAGCTCAAAGAATACCTGCACCTGCCTCGCTCTCTATTTTGGGATCTCTATCTGGAATTCAAAACATCTAGATGATTCAGTGTATCAAATTGTTATCAAAATCCAGGGAGCTGGAATGCTCTCTTCCTGCCCTACCCACACTGCTGCTGATAATTTCAATTGTCAGCATCCACGTATTCCTCATTTTACCTGAACACGGACACAAAAAAATCCCTCCAATGCAAAACCTAAGCAATGCAAAGTTTCCACAACTAATTAAAAAAACAAAAACAAAACCAGCACCTTGAACACCTGCACAAACACCCTCACCACACTTCAAAAATTGATTTAGCAGAGCACCCAGGTTACACAGCTGGGTGCAGTTTGGTCTGAAATAGCTGGACTGGATTGATGCTCAAGGACCACAAGCCAAAGCCCAAAATAAATTGATGGGAACAAGTGAAAATCCATCTGTAATCACAGAACAAATTCACAGACTTCACTCCAGCACAGAGCAGCGAGCCCTGATGTTGGTGGATGCTGGCTGCCAGACAAGAATTGAGGCAGCCCATTACTTTTTTACTTTTTTTTTTTTCAAAGTCAAGGATAAAGGATATAAAAATTTAGAGACCTGCATTAGAAGTCTCACACACTGGCAAGTTATGGGATTTTGAAGGCAGGGAGGAAAACAGATTTAAAGGCTGCAATTCTAGTTATTTTTAGTGGGACAAATTATGCTCTACATCTCTCAAGCTGTATTAAAAAAAAGTCAGCCAAGTTTATTTGTCACAGAGTGAGGAGGGAAAGGGTGTAAGGGAACAACATCTTTATGGCCAGAGCTAGAGAAATCCCACAAAGTCAAGCTCCAAGTGTGTTTTTTCCCCTTCACCCCCTCATAAAACAAAGTTGTCACCACTGTGTGTGTTTGAGCCTGCCTGGCCTCCAGCCAAGCCTCCCAAATCCCATTTTCTGCCTTCCAAGGCCCAGGGAAGAGCCCAAACATGCTGTGCACAGATTTGGGCTGGGCAGGGGGATGCTGCTGAGCCCCAGCCCCCCACAGCTGTGTTTTACCTCTCTCTGCTCACTGCAGATCTTGCACAACCACAGGGGACGTTTCTGGCCTCCGACAGTTTCTATCCCACACTTGGTGCAAACTTTCTGGAACAAGGAGAGAGAAAAGAAAGGAAGAAAAACAAAAAAAAGAGAGGTGGTGTTAGCAGCTCCCCACAGCCCTTGGGGGAGAGAAGGTTGAGAAGCAACAGCTCTGCTTTGCTCTCCTTAAAAACCTGACACAAATTCCCTGTTTTTCCTGGAGAACCCCTGACTGCAGGAAGATGCTGCAGGGCTGTAAGGACAGGAGGCAAAGGCAAATCCACAGCACAGCCCTTGGCTCCAGGGAGAGGAGAGAGCAGGGCAGGGCAAATCAAACCCCATCACCCACAGGTGTATTTGCAGAGCTGCTTTTTTATTGCCTTAATCCTAACCCCCAGTCTCTGTGGCCTGGAGAGCAGCTGTAAGCAGGCACAAGTGCAGGATTGGGAATGTTCTCCTTCCTCCTCTCACACACACGTGCTGAATCCCACGTCTTCCCCTCCATCCCAGCACACTCCCCTTGATCTGGGGCTGGTTAGCAGGTGGGCATGGCCATGGTTACACACATTTCCTGAACTGATGGCTCTGCACAGCCCTTTCTGCTGTCTCTGCTGGCATCCCAAGCCATTTACAGCCTGAATCTCCCAGCATTACATAATGAAGCCGATGCCTATCAGCCCTGGCAGTGCAGCTGGAATGAGAAATGGGATGAATCCTTTGATCCTCACAGGGGAAAAGCCACTCAAGAAGAGGAGAGCAAAAGCTTGCTGAGATGTACCTGAGGATTGGATGTCCCCAGATTCACACAGGCTGCTCCTGTGCCCAGGGATGAAGGTCTCATCTTCCCCACCCCACTATTCCTGCCCTCATCCTCATCCTCCCAGAGAAATAATGAAAACCTGTTGAGCCTGGTGCACCAACCCTCAGCATGGTGCTCCCCAAGCCAAGGGGGATTGGCAGATTCAGTCACAGACACCTAAAAGACCCCAAACTCTCCCTCCCCCAACCCAAACCCCGAGGGAGCAGCTCAGCCTGAAATCCCCTCCAAAATCCCAATCCCCACACGGATAGCACATTCAAACGCTCCCTCTAGTGGAAATTCCCAACCGATTTTACTCCCAGCCACGAGTTCTGAAAAATCCCAACATTAAAACGGTGTTTTCCTCCCCTCCTTCTCTGCAGAGTAGCTGGGAAATTGAGCATCACTCAGAACCCCTCGGAAGAAGACATAAAAATCAAGGGCGTTAAATGCAGCCCCATTTCTCATTAAACACAAGACAAAGCACTTTCCTCTCCCACTCATCCTTCACCTTTTACACACACATCAATCCCCTGTGCATGGTAAAGCACCTTGGGCTTTGTCTCACTCCTGCTATTGTTAACACATCTGGCTTTGCACAATTCCTTTATTTCCCAGATAATAAAAACCAATATTAAAAGCATTCTTTCCAAAGCAGGAAGTGGCACTTGGAAGATCCATCAGAAGTGCAGGACCTTTGTTCAGCAGGAGCAATTTACCTTGCTGAAGGTAAATTCTTTGCTGTGTTTCAGGTGCATCATTGCAATTCCTGGTATTGAATTAAATGTTCTGCAATGACACGGTACCAGAGCAGTGCCTGCCAGAAAAATATGAACTTTAAAAAAATCCATAATTCCCTGACAAATTGCTTATTGCACACAGCACTCCATGAGTGATGGATATCCCTGGACAAGAGGGAACAAGCAGTTCACTCTGTGCTCTGCTGAAGGGTTGGCTGTTCCCCGAGTTCACTCCACAACATTAAAAACAAGAAAGGGAGAAGCCTAGGGCACCCAGGCAGAATTTTCTTGGGCTGGCACAGAGCTGAAAAGTGCAGCCAGTCTGAAAGCAGCTGCAAAATGCACCCTGGAAAAGTAGGATCTCACTTAAATCTGCCTGGATATGAATGCTGCTGAACTGCCCATCAGACTCCTGAAAAAAGGGAATAAAATCAAATAAATAAAAAAAATCCAGTTTTTCTCTGGGGTTTTCTGGTCACAGCCCCCCTCAGGGCAGGCTCACACTGTCCCACCAGCTGAGGGTCACTCCTGCAAAGGGACAGGGCTGGGAAGTGTCTGAAGCAGCCCCTGCCTCCTCAACAGCGTTCAGGGTTCACAGGAAATTGGTCAAAAAGCCCCATGGCAACGTGGCTTAGCTGGCTCCTGACAAGGTGAGGGCAGAACTGCCACGGGAAGAAGGCAGGAATAGAGCACATCCTGTTATTCCACATGCCTGAAATACAGGAAAGAGCCAAGAATCTCCTGCCTGTCCCCTGACCCTTTACTGCCCACAGTGCACAGAGACCACGCTGCTCCCATCAAACCCAGCCTTTCACTCCCCACTGCTGCTTCCTTCCACACCCCTTCCCTAAAAGCTGTTTTCCCCACGGATTAGGAGCCAGAGGCTCCAAGATTTGTGTTTCCTTCCCCAGGCACTGCCTTAGAAGGAATTTTCTGCACAATCCCAGCGATTTCTGCGGTTCCCAGTGGAGGAACCTGCTCTGCAGCAGAGCTCACAGCCTGCTCTGCACGAGGGCTGTGTCCCACAAATCCAGCAGTGCCACAGAAGGCTGTCCCCCGTGTCCAACCCCCAGTCCATGGCAAAGCAGCAGGTTTTACCCAGCAGAAACTCTCCAGCACCCAGCAGGTGCCCTCACCTCGCCGCAGGTGACACGCTGGCATGAAGGAACTCCCAGAGGGGAGTCCCCAGGGAAGATGGGCTTCAAGAGCAGGAAAAGCAGCCTCCCAGCAGAGGCAGGAGGAGGTGGTTGCCTTGGAGATCATAATCTCCACAGCAATACAGATTAACCCCTCAGCTGTGGAGCCAAGAGCAGCAGGAGCCATCCCTGGGGTGCTGGAGAGCAGCAACACACACAGCACAGGCACTCTCTGAGGCTCAGGGCTGGAAAACTTGCACTGCTTTGGAGCTTGAGGATGGACTTGAGTCCTCCTGGAAGGTCTCAGGGCAGACCTTGCAAAGCTCACAGACTTTTGTGAGCTGTCTCTGATAGCTGCACACTCCTGCCCCTCGTCCCATGCTGCAAACCCCAAAACTCCAGCTGGGAGATGCAGAGGGGGCTGGCACAGCCCATCCCAGCACTGAGGGCAGCTCAGGCACTTTGGGATCCTGAGGAGTCTCTTCTTATCACCAGGATCCTGAAGAATCTCTTACTATCACCAGGCTGCCCCAGAAAACCTGATGGTCTGACAGTGAGAATAAAATAACCCTGCAGAGCTCTCCAGCCTCCAGGGGTCTGGTGGTTCCCAGAGAATCCTGCTGCCAGGAACAGGCTCGTGTGAGCAAACCCACCTTTTTGCAGTCCTGGCAGAAGACAGAGGAGCTGCCCAGCAGCCCCAGCATCTCCCCACAGAGCAGGCACTGCGAGAGGCCGTTCCCCATGGCGTTCTTCCTCATGTTCTCCAGCCTCTCCACCAGGCGCCTGCGGGCAGGAGGCAGAGCAGAGGTCACAGCATTGCAGGAAAAGCTTCAAGTGCTCAGAGCAAGTCAGAAAGCACTGGGAAAGGGGAAAGGAGCTGAACCTGCCAAGCCCTCTCCATTTCCTGAAAGCAGCAGGGCAGGCACTGACTTGCCCACGTCCCATTAGAAGCAGGAAGGCCAGAGACCACGCCAAAGACCAAGATGAGCCTGGCTGTGGCACAGAAATGGCAGAACTGCTCCCTGCTCCCTTCCACAGCCCATTTGGAAGACGGGCAGCACATGAGCATGCACAATGTCTGCAGCAGCAGGGCTGGGAGAGGGCAGGAAGGCAGGACAGGCAGTTGGGATGCAGGGTGTGGAGGGCACGCAGGGCGAGGTTGCTCCGCCATGAGATCACTGCTTGGCAACCTGCAGAGGGGGAGAGCAGCAGCCAGGCCATTTATCAGCACCAGCAGCAGGAGGGAGTGATCCTGCCATCCATGAATCCCACTCTCATTAGTGCTAATGTCCCATCACCCTTGGAGAGCAAGGCAGGGGCTGCTTGAGAGAGGTGCTGCCGTGGTGGGGAGGTCAGGCTGCACAGCCAGAGAGAGCCATCATTAGTGGATTTATGATCCCCGACTCGGACTCTGGCACAAAAGAGCTCCTGGGAGTTGACAAAAGGCATTTCAGAGAATGCCTCACCACAGGAGCTGCACGGGGAGCACTTGCTGCAGCTCCAGCAGCAAGCACACAGCAGCAGGCAGGCCCTCAGGGTCACTGGCTGCTGCTGGGGTCCCCCATTCATCACAAAAACATCACTGCCACTCCTCGTTAGCCCTCGCTAACGAGCTCTGCACAGGGAAGCAGAGAAGCAGGAATCTGGCTGGACAGGGGCTGGGAGTCCCTGGGCTTTCCTGTCTCATGAACACAAACCCTGCTGGGAAATGCTGCAGGGCTGCCCTGCTCTAAGGCAGGCAGAGTGGCATGATCACACACAGAGCTCAGGCCAGACCTCCGGCAGGCCTGAGAGCAAATGGGAACCTGCAGCAGCAAAAGGATGCCTGTAAATTAAATAATTCAACCTAGCAAACCCCATCCAGAGGGCTCAGCCAACTAGAACACCAACTCATTCTCTGCTCCAGGCAAAATCCCAGGGGCCTGGTGCGGACAAGGGAAAACCTGATTGCAGTGCCAGCAGTGATCCTGAGCCACCCACGCCCTGGGCACAGCCCAGCCTCTCCCAGAGCCCCTGCCTCAGCACCACCTGCATTTTCCAGGGACTGTGTCAGGGCTGCAGCCTCAGCAACCCCCAAAGCTCAAAAAAAGCACAAAAAGAGCTCAGCGAGAAGGAAAACACGACATCCTCCCCAGCGGTCATCCCCTCCAAACAAGCAGCTTGGGAGGGGAAAACCACTGACCTAAGGGATGCTCTGAGTGCTGGAGGCTGAGCCCAGGCAGCTGGGAGGGCCAGTGCTGCCTTTGTGACCTTTTCTGGGCAGGGGAGGGACAGGAGCGTGGCCGTACCCGACGCGCTGCTGCTCCACCACGTCCAGCTGCTCTGCCTTGCGGATCACTCCCAGGATGACCTCAAGCTCCTTGGGGCTCAGAGCCTGCATCTTCCTCTGCTTCTCAGTCTGGAATGTGTGCACTGACCAGCCCGTCTGGAGCCTGTGGGAGGGGGTGGAGGGCAGGACTCAGCTGGGGAGGGGAGCACAAAGCCCCTGCCCCGCAGCCCCGCCAGGGAAATCTGCTCCATGCCTAAAGCCCAAAGCAGGAGGCTCCTCTCACTGAGCACATTTCCACACCACCCTCCCATCAGCAAGGAGTGCTGTGCTGCCTCTCCCCGCCCTCCCTTTCTGCTCCTGTTTGTGTTTTTTACCACTGCAAGCCCCCATTCCTGTCTGTCCATAAAGCAGCATCACTCCTGGGGCTGCCCCTCCTGGGGATCCCCTCACAGAGATGGCTGCTGATGCCAGGCACCACAAGTGCCAAGAGCAAACCCACAAACACAGGGATCACCTGCACCCTCCTCCCTGCAGGATCCCACATCCCTCAGCTCCAACACACAAATCTCTGGGCACGCCTGGAAATACAAATTTGGCACCATCCTCCCTTGGTCTGGCCCAGGTTCACACGAGGACCTCAGCAAACCCCCTGTGCCTCACATGCAGCAGCTGATGCTTCTCCTTGGCTCACTTGGCAGCAGGCAGGAGCTTTCACAGCTCAATTAATTAATTACCATTCAGGAGGGGTTTGGAGGTCACTGGATAAACTTATGGCTGCAAGGAGGATGCACTCCTGGGCACCACTGCCTTGCTGAGGCTCCCTGCAGGCTGGGGAGGTGGCAGTGGGGTGCCCAGCCAGGCAGGCCCCTCAGATCATGGGGTGCTCCCCTATTTTTTAACACTCTGCAGCAGCAGCTGAGCCCAGGGGTACAGGCAAGAGCAGAGGTGGCACAGTCCCAGCTGCCAGGGAATGAAAACATCCAAGAAAAATGCACTTCTAGAGCTTGACTCATCCACATCGTTTTAGTCTTTAGGTTGTGCAGTAATTTTAACTTCAGGGGAAAACAAGAACTAATGACAAGTTCCTAAAACAAAAGGGTGCTGGCAGCTGGGGAATGCTATAAATTATATTTATCCATTATCTTTAGGGTGCTGCAGAGATCTGAGGCTTCCTTTCACCCAGGGGAGGGCTGTGGGATGGACTCCCAGGGTGCAGGACGAGTGCAAGAGCCCAGAGACACCAGGAAAGCTGTCAGGGCAGAGCTGAGGGTGGGAGGGGAGGAGGAAGAGGAGGGTGGGGAGGACTCACTTGGCTCTCAGGGCCAGCTGCCGGTCGTTGGGGCAAACCCAGGGGCCCATCCCGCTGCCAAAAATCATCTCAGCCATGGCCCCAGCCTGGGGAGGGTTGGGGTTGGCAGGGTCACACCTGGAGGAAGCAAACAGAGGTGATCTGCCAGCACCACACACAGTGGGAGCAGCCAGACTCACCCACAGACAGTGATAAAAACAAACCATCACCCTCACAAAATATAAGCTAATAAATACCTTCAGGTACCTTGAAGGCAAGGCTGGAAGTTTAGATTTTATGGTATACTCTGGGAAGGAAGAAAAAAAAAAAGCCAGACACTCTTTGTCAGTCCTGATTTTTCATTTCAAACTAGAGAAAAGCGTTGTCTGTAAAAATAGTACCTGCCTCCCCACCTCCAGAGCCCCAGCGCTGCAGTTCTGACAGAGAAAGCCACTCCAAAGGACACAAAGAAGCTACAGTTGCCTTTTTTTTAACCTCTTAATGGGGTAACAAACAAAAACCCACGCAACAATCAGTATGAATAGTGGCAAGTCATTTCCTTCATTAAAACTGCCTCCATAATAGCCTGATATTTATAACTCCAGCCTACAATAGCAGCTTGTTTGCATTCTCTGATGCTCAAGACAGCACCTCTTGTAGCAGATCTCCTGCTGTGGCTCCTGCCCCTGGCATGGTCACAGCAGTGTTCAGTGAAAATTCCACTGAACTGATCAAGAACCAACTTCCAGATGCTCATGGGAGAAACATCCCCCAGAGAGACTCTGCAGCTGAGCAGTTCTGAGCCCTATCAGCAGCTCAGATGAATGGAAAGCACCGAGGGACAGGCACAGCCAAAAGATTTCAATGGATGCTGAACTAGGCTTGATGTAGTGAGCTTTTAACCAGCTGGATTTGCTCTCCAGCAGAGCGAGTGTCTCACAAGCCCTAATGCATAAATTCCCAGGTATTAATGCTCGTCCCCAGCACAGACACTTGCCAGCTTTGAAACCCCACCTGCTGGGCAGAGATAACGTGTTTCATGCTGGTTGGCAAGCAGGACTCAGATCCAGTGGCAGGCCAGGTGTGTCACCTGCCAGCCCTGCTGCAGTTCCCAAGCAAACTCTTTTTTTTTTTCCCAGCCTCAGTGGCCAGCAGTGCTGCAGCCTCCCCTGCTATCTGCTGCTGCCACACTGAGCTCTGTGCTGCTGTGCCAGGCACAGCCTGGTGGCCTTGGCCCCCTCACACAGAGCTTGTGCACATCAAACCCTCCCTGCTGTGCTCATCCCCCAGCACAGAAACACCAGCCTGTGGCACAGGACTGACAGCTCCCTCCTGCCAAACCCCCCTGAGCCAAAATGAACCAGCTCCCTCCTCTCTGGCCATCCCAGTTTCTGGGAAGAGCTTGAAAATGCAGTGCTTACAACAGGCAGGAGGGGAGAGGGGAAATTCCACGCAGATTTCTTCCAGTGCAGGGGGAAATATGTGTAAAAGAGGTGAAGGCTCAGCAGAGTCTGACTTGTGCAAAGTGAGGCATGGGGGAGATGGGAAAGCTGCAGCAAGCAGGGCTGAGGCAGGAAGGACAGACAGGAATGTCACACAGGATTTTTTAAACCTTTACCACTTTAGTCAGTGGTAAAGAAAACCTTGAAGCCTGGCACTGACTGCTCTCCCCGCTCTGCTCAGTGCCACACACTGGGTTTGCATTTCCATTCAGCCCCAGAACACCTCCTGCTCTTTTAATCTTCCTGACAATCTCCTGCGAGGAGAGAACAGGAGAACACCCTCCCCACTCCCATCCCACAGAGCTCACACCCAGGGGAGCAATCAGGCATGAACAGCACAAGAACACAGAGGCTCCCACCCTCAGGCCTGAGTTAGAAGCAGAGAAAAGCTACAATTGCACACAGAATGGCTGACCTGGGATTTTCCAGAGATTTCCCAAGCCTGTGATGTGTGGTTACAGGATTATATGCATATGTAGCCCCCCACACAAATGCATACATTAAATTACTCCTCAGCTGCACCGTGAATTCCTCCCTCCCACTCGTGAACACCTGAAGAATAGCACAGCCCACACTCTGTGTCCATGCAGGGCTCCAGGCAAGCAGCCTGTGCTGGCTGGGGGGTTTTGGAATAAAATCTGGAGCTGGAGATGAGCCCCACAGCAGAGGCAGGGCAGAGGAGCTTCCTTTGCCAGCAGCTCTCAGGGTGGAAAGCTGTGCTGGAAGCATCAGCCCCTCCTCAGCAGGCTTTATCTACTCCACCAGAGCTGAAGGCGAGTCAGAATAGAGCACATGAGCTGAGCATTTTTCTCAGGAGAGGCTTAAAGGCATTCTCCAGCCTCACAGCACAGTGAGCTTTGCTCAGCGTGACTGAACAAAAACAAGCAATGTCATGGTCCTTTGCCTCTTGTTACTCAGCATAAGCTCCCTGTCCTCCCCCTTCCCTGAGCAGCATCTGCAAAGACAGAATTCAAACAAAACACAGCCTAAAGAGCCACCAGATCCCAAAAGAGTCTGCAGAGAGATCATTCCCTGAAATATTTACGGGATGTGCCGTCTCCTCTGATGGGAGATGCTGGTTTTCCACATTTGCCTCTGGAAAAAGCCTGGTGGGGACACACCTCGAGGAAGGAAACAGGAATGGGACTGCAGGGCATGGTCTGCTGGGGAAAAGCAGGGCTGGAGGGAAGGGACTGTCTCTGATGGGTGGGGGAATGATGCCAGAGGAGTGGAAGGCACGGTGCATCTTCTCTCTTATCTCAGTACAGGACAAGAAGTGCAGGGAAATCAGAAACACCCAGATAGCAAAACCACGCCAGCCTGGGGAGTCGTTTCCATGGGCTGTGGTGAAATATCCCCCTCCTGCAGTCTTGCATTTTCTCTCAAAACTATTTCAATCAGCACCAAGCCATCCCTTCCCTCTCCTCTTCTCTCAACAAACTAACAAAGGGCAGAAGCAGCCAGTCAGTCTCTCCTGGTGGGAGCAAGAGAAACTCACAGCTCCTGGCCCACCTGCAGGTGCCCTGCACACAGGGTGACAGCAAAGCACGAGCAATTCATGGTACAGAAAAACCTCCCACTCCAGGCTTCTGCTTTTTACCTGAATTCAGAATTAAAAGGGGAGCTCTTATCGATATTCTCTGACCTGCTTTAAAACCACTCCACCTGCTCATTCCTTTCCTGTGGTGGAGGAAGTCATGTGAGACAAAACCTCATTAAATGTGAGTGCAGCTGGCTGCCCTTGGCACAGCAGCCCAGGGGAGGAGCAGTGCCCTGCAGGGCTGAGCCTTCCTGTGGGGCCAGGGGCATCCTGGAGGATGCAGACCCCAGCACATCCCCGCTGCAGCTCTGATGTGGCTCCTTCTCTGCTGTCCCCATGGTAAGAGCTGTACTCTGGCTACCAGAACTCAGAACTTCAGTCTGGGAGGGAGAAGCCTTCCAGTGGGCCTGAGTGAAGGGAGCAGGGGCAGGCAGGCACAGCCTGTGGACATGATGCTCTTCAAAGAGTTGCTGAGAAGGAATCCAGGTTTTCTCAGCAGAACATCAACGTGAGCATCACCAATTTTACCTCAATTACAGCACAGACACAGCAGGTTGTACCTGTACCTCACCAGCTGCAGGAGCAGGTGCTTAAGGAAGAATATAACATCACAGCACAGCAATATTTACCCAGAACTCCCTCCCAGCCCCCAGACATTCCTGGATCAGGCACTGCCTGACCCAGCCTGCAGCTCTCTTTAACACCCTCAACATTTTCCTGCCCCAAATTTACCAGCTTGCCTTTCCAGCATCATCTCACCACACCAAGCCCCTTCCCCACTCCTCCACCTCAGACTTCACCTGAGCACACCAAAGCTGGAACTGAAGGGTTTGGCTGACCCTGAGGTGCTCATGGCACAAAAACCTCCTCGTGCAGGGGCAGCACAGCCTGCCCAGCCCTCCTGCAGCTGGGCCCACGGAGCATCAATTCCTCAGAGCCCTGCAAAGACAAAAAATCCTACACAGCCCCACGAGGAGGCCTCCAGTCAGCTTTCATTTACCTGCCTATTTCAGCTGAGCAGCTCGTGTCTAGATTAATTTGTTTTCATAGCAAATTAATTTGACGACCTTTTTTTTTTAATACTTCATTTTACAAAAATCAAAATGAAGCAGTTGGCTGGAGCCAAGCTCCCAGTTCCCAAGCTGTGTAATTATCTCACCTGCTCCCAGGGCACCACCTCCCCCAGGATTCACAGGTGCCTGGTGGCCCTTCTTCCCTCCAAGAAATCAGTGTTGTGAAAAATGCTACTTACTTGTGTTAAAATGTTAAAAGTTGAATAGTTTAAAAATAGTAATAAAAAATTAGAGCAATAAGAATTTGGACAATCAGAGTTAGGACAATAAAAAAGTAAAGAATTATGAACGTTTGGATGTTTTCTTCAAAAAAGCATGTCTGCTAACAAAGGATTAACTTCTAAATCCTTTTTAGGATTAATATATAATATATAATAATATATAATTTTAGGATTTAGAAATTAATACATAATATATATAATATATAATTTAGAAGTTAATATAATATATATTCATATATTTCATACATGATGTAAACACTCTTTTTAAACTAGGGAGTTTTTTGTTTATTGTCAACTTTCCCCCCTTCATCTTGTAAATTATGATTTGGCTCTGTAAAGTCTGTAAGGAGGTAGGAGTTTGGTTCTTCTCAGTAAGGAGGTAATAATTTTTCTCTTTGGGATTTTAGTATTGTGTTGCTGTTATCTTTCTATGAAGAATTTCTTGATTATCTTATCCATTCCTTGAGCTAGTTAGAAAAGTATCTTTCATCACACAGTTTCTATTTTAACATTATGTTACAGCCTAAAACTATATTTAACACACTACTTAAAAGAATTAATACAGCATAACTTTCTAACATAACACACATAACATTCATTTTAATATTTGCAAAACAGCCAACCATACAACACTCATTTTTCAGAGTGTAATCACCTCCTGCTCTGCAGCCAGACCCCATTAGCCCCGGGAAACCTTGGCAACTGAGGAGTGTTTGCTGTGTTGCCATGGCACGGGGCAAGTGAGGGGCAGGGATGGGTAAGGTGAACCCAGCCACCAGCAGGAAGGTTATTTGCTGCAGCCACCGCTCTTCCCCTGGGGTTTAAAATCCCCCAGATGTATTTCAGAGCTGGTTTGAAGTGGCAGGAGAACCCTCGGGGCTGTAGGAAACAAAAAGTTGGCTTTGAAGGTCTGGAGCCAGAGCTTGGAGAAGTTTTTCTCCCACCTGAACCCCTTGGAGCTGCTTGTTCACACCCACGTCCAGCAGGGCCACAGCCCCTTCAGCAGGAGCCTGCTGTGGGCACCAAAAAAATGCTGGAAAATGATTTTATAAGGGCTAAGCAGAGCCAGGAGACCCCCCAGCACCTCTCTGAGGTCTTGTCATTCCTTACCAACCCTCAGCAGCAGATGGAGAGACAGGGATCTAATGGGATCAGAGCTGACAGAGGGAATAAAGGGATCAGAGCTGACAGAGGGATCTAATGGGATCAGAGCTGACACAGGGATCCAGTGGGATCAGAGCTGACAGAGGGAATCCAATGGGATCAGAGCTGACACAAGGATCTAATAGGATCAGAGCTGAAACAGGGATCCAGTGGGATCAGAGCTGACACAGGGAATCCAATGGGATCAGAGCTGATTTGCAGCCCAGGCCAAAACAGTGTCCAAATAAACACCACAAAGCCTTTGCCAAGCCTGGGGAGAACAACTTAAGGACCCAATCCGTCAGACTTTCCCCTGAAAGCTCAATCTAAGCAGCATCAGTGCCAGCAAAATGGGGACAACCTCATTCAGATCCTCATTGTGGCTGGCCCAGCCCAGATCAAACACCAGCTGGGAGGGGTCCCTATGGTGAAAGGCCAAGCTGGTAAAGAAGTGGGTGAGGATGAGGTTTGGAGGGGAAAACCAAGAAGTTTCCTCTCCACCAGAGCTGCTCCCCAATCCCAGCAGCAGATGGGATCAGAGCTGATTTGCAGCCCAGGCCAAAACAGTGTCCAAATAAACACCACAAAGCCTTTGCCAAGCCTGGGGAGAACAACTTAAGGACCCAATCAGTCAGACTTTCCCCTGAAAGCTCAACCTAAGCAGCATCAGTGCCAGCAAAATGGGGACAACCTCATTCAGATCCTCATTGTGGCTGGCCCAGCCCAGATCAAACACCAGCTGGGAGGTGTCCCTATGGTGAAAGGCCAAGCTGGTAAAGAAGTGGGTGAGGATGATGTTTGGAGGGGAAAACCAAGAAGTTTCCTCTCCACCAGAGCTGCTCCCCAATCCCAGCAGCAGCAGCAGCAAGAAGCCAAACTGCTTTTAAGATGCAGCTTATAAAGAGTTTTTAAAATACAATGCCCTGGAGGTCCATGCCAGTCCTGTGAGTGGGAAGATAAAATCAGCTCGACAGGAAAGCTGACATCCAGCACCAACAATTCTTTATTAACGAGAGGCACTTCTTAGTGTGGCTACCTGAGATATGGTGAGCTAAAAAAAAAACAAAAAAAAACAACCAAACCCAAAAACCAACAGGTTTTGCCAAAGCAAAGCAGCCTCCAGGTGCCCCAGCACCCTTTGATGGAAGGGAGGAAAGCCAGCCCTGTTCCACCTGCCAAGGTGTATCTTTATTTATCAGACTTTGGACCCATTTCCTCCTGATCCCCAGCCAGGCAGGTGCCTTATGCAAAGTGAATAATTCATGAAGACAGCAGGCTCTTGCAGTTCGGGGCAGGTTGATCTGGGAGAAGCAAATTAGCATCTAAATGGCCAATTAGAGAAACTCATTTCACTATTCCGATATAAAGCTCGGGAGGCCTGAGGCTGGAGGCTGGCAGTGTGGCACCTCCCAGCCTGCAGAGGAGCATCAGGTTTCTTAGAAAGAATTGGGCAGAGGGAAGCGCTGAGCACAGGCCAGCTTTGTCAAGGAATCCCGTGCAGAAGAGGAGCCTCATGCCAGGCTGTTTCACTCTGGTGAACCAGGAAAAGAACAGCTCGTGGCCGTGGAGAAACTCTGCTGAGCAGCCAGGCCTTGCCAAAAAACTCCCTGTCCAAAGAGCCACAGGCCTGCTGGCACATCTGGGGATGGAACAGCTTTTCTCGGCATCCTTAAGGGATAATACTGGTTTTAGGCACCCTTTGAACAACACCACAAACGAGGCTTTTATCAGCCTGGACGTGGTTGCTACGAGCACAAAGAAAGCCGTGGACTTTGACCAGGTGCTGGAGAGCACCTGAGCCACCCTGCAGCACCCCAAAAACCCCGAGGGTGGGCACAGCACGTGGCTGTTCCCTGCACACCCAGCACCTGAAACCCAGGACACTCCAGCCTCCCACAGGCACACGTGGCTTCTCCCAGCTCCCAAAATCCCAAAAAGCAGGACGTGGCTGCTAACTTCTCCACACATCCCTCTCACCTCCCACCTCTGGCTCGTTTCCCTCCACATCTTTGCCACTTCCAGTTAATTCCCTTCAGGAGCCCGAATCCCACCTGAATTCCCAGAAGGGCTGGGAAGGGGCGGTGGAGCTCCCAGGGCAGGATCACAGGACACATCCCAGCCACCTCCCAGCTGCTCCTGGAGCCTCTCAGGGAGCTCTCCCCCGGCTCTGGGTGTCCCTGGCCCCTCCAAGCTGCTCCTACTCCCTGAACCCACAAACCCCAAACCCTCCAAACTCCTCCCATTCCCAGAACCCACAAACCTCAAACCCCCCAAACTTCTCGCCATTCCCTGAAACCAACAAGCCCTGAAGCCCCCAACCTGCTCCCCACTCTCAGAACCGACAAACCCCGAACCCCAAAAACTTCTCCCCATTCCCTGAACCCACAAACCCCAAACCCTCCAAGCTGCTCCCATTCACAGAACCCACAAACCCCGAGCCCCAAAAACTTCTCCCCATTCCCAGAACCCACAAACCCCGAACCCTTCCAAGCTGCTCCCATTCCCTGAGCCCACAAACCCCGAACCCCCCAAACTTCTCGCCATTCCCAGAACCCACAAACCCCGAACCCTTCCAAGCTGCTCCCATTCCCTGAGCCCACAAACCCCGAACCCCCCAAACTTCTCGCCATTCCCAGAACCCACAAACCCCGGGCACGCCGCTTCTCCTCCCGGTGCCCGGCAGCCGCTGAATCTCAGCTCAAACTCCGCCCGGAGCGGCCCAAACCGAGCCGAGAGCGGCTGAGCCGAGCCGAGCCGAGCCGAGCCGGGCCGGGCCGAGCCGCTCCCCCCGCACCCACCTGCGCTCCGGCCTCGCCGCGGTCGCTCCGCGGAGCCGCTGCCCCGGCGGGACGAGGCGGAAACGGAGCCGCACCTGCGCCCGCCCCCGCCCGCCCTCCGCGCCCCGCGGGGCCGCGCGTCCCCTGCTGGTGTCCGCTGCGGCCACCGAGCGGCGGGGACACCGCCAGATGTGGAGAGAGAGGGGCTGCAGGGATGTGGGCACTGCCAGATGTGACCTGGGAGAGGCTGTAGGGATGTGGGCACTGCCAGATGTGACCCGGGAGAGGCTGCAGGGATGTGGGCACAGCCAGATGTGACCTGGGAGAGGCTGGAGGGATGTGGGCACTGCCAGATGTGGAGAGAGAGGGGCTGCAGGGATGTGGGGACAGCCAGATGTGGATAGAGAGGGTCTGGAGGATGTGGGCACTGCCAGATGTGACCCGGGAGAGGCTGCAGGGATGTGGGCACAGCCAGATGTGACCTGGGAGAGGCTGGAGGGGATGTGGGCACAGCCAGATGTGCGATGGGAGAAGCTGCAGGGATGTGGGCACAGCC